GAGAATCAAAACTGCTTGATATATAAGGTTCGCCCATTGAGACACTACAAAAAAATTAAAAGGGTGGGAGTGTTGTGCCTTAGTAAGCTATTTTGACGGGCTTCCATTTGGTAAAACTCCAGCTCTGGTTTGAATGCACAAGAACTTCTTGCCTATGATTGATCTCTCCCCCCCCCTCCCAAGAAACCCAGTACTGTGTTAGTGGTATAAAAATATAAGCTCAAAACCTGTTTTCTTTCGATTTCCTTGTTGGTACTGTTGAGTTGATTGTAGTCCCCTTGGTGTCTCATCTCATAGTCTTTGTTAGAACCTGTTGGCTTCCTCTTCTGGCCCCTCCGCTGTTCCTAACTGTGCCACGACAACACAGACGACTGTCTTTTCTGTCTCTTTCAGTTCCAGGGTGTCTTTCAGTTGCTGTAGTAACCTGGGTCCAGGTCCTCGGTGGTGCTCCTGATGCCCCTCACCCACCCCTGAAGATCCCAGGTGGGCGAGGGAATAGTCAGAGGGATCACAATCTTTCAGCTAATTTATTTTATTCTGTAAGTATGTACGGTTTTTGTGGTGGGGATTAACACAAACTGGGGGTTGGGATCAATGCTCCCTCTAAGCTGTGGAGTCTTGTGAGCAAAAATTCTACTCTGTGAGCTACCGGCATTAAAGTTGTGAGTGAGCGATTGGGCTGCTGCATAAATCAGTTTGCTCTGGAGCCGTCCTTCCTGAGTGAAGACTAGAGATGTAAAATTTCTGGAAATGTTGAAGCTTGGGAAAAAACCCGTTTTTTTCCCGGAAAAAATGGAAATTTTTGGAAAAATTGAAAAAAATGCTACATTAGCATTTCTTTTGTCTTTTCTAGATTGAACGTCATTCTGTTACTTTAGGAACATAAAATATGACTATGGACATTTTTACTTGGCATGAAATTATCACAACTAGCATATTAAAAATATAGTGTATCCAAACAATTATTACAAACAGAATACCCACCCACATGCAAAAACAAAACTGAAACTTTTTGGATCCTCAACAGTCACTGCTTCGCCCGCGAGAAGGAAGGAAATAAAAAGACCCACCAAGGAGCCGCAGACATGCCCGCCCTGCCCGCCAGCGCTGCTCTGAGGAGTTCCAGGGTGTCTTTCAGTTGCTGTAGTAACCTGGGTCCAGGTCCTCGGTGGTGCTCCTGATGCCCCTCACCCACCCCTGAAGATCCCAGGTGGGCGAGGGAATAGTCAGAGGGATCACAATCTTTCAGCTAATTTATTTTATTCTGATAATCGGCTGAATGTAACAGAAGAAGTAACATCAAATAACAGGACGAGAATCCTTAATGTCCAGTCCAGGCTGACGGATGCCAAGCACATTAGTTGGAGAACTGTGCTGAACAACAACCACCTGTACATTGAAATCCCTAATGGTGCTCTGCCTGAAGGGAGCAAAGACAGGTAAGCAGAAAATACCTTGGCGTGTTTTGGCTGCTCTTAGGTTTGGCGCTTTGTTTTGTCATCTTTCTCCTCTGAAGCCACTCTCAGGTGAATTCTTAAAACGGCTCCTGTTTTGGTGTTTGGTAAAAGCTGTCAGGTTCTGCTGGAGAATGCAGATGTGCATGCAGTACACAATAACCTCCGTCCCACACCATTGGTCTCTGCAGTCTCTGGGTAGAATTTGAAGGTATTTTACAAAGTACGCTCCCACCCCCATCTGATGGTGGACAGTAGTTGAACTCTGCCAAGGGGGATCAGGGAGTCTGTTATAATACCCGGAGGGTTTTCCCCCAAAAAAATGAAGTGTAGAAAAAACTAATCTGAAAAGGGCATATTTTATATTATGACTTCCCTGCCTCCAGCTGCATGAGCAATCGGCATTTAATAGGAGAGCTGAAACTCTGTAGTGAACTTGGTTCTTGTAGCAAGTCTCAGCAGTTGTGTCAATACAAGTCCGAGTGCAGGCAAGATTGGTTCTTCTGACGCATATTTAATCCTAAAAAGGGTATTAAGCTATAGATGGGGTACTAGCAGGTACTCATTTGCATATTAAGTGACACTCCCCTAATGTAGCCAATCCTCCAAGAGCTTACAGCAGCTCCTGTAAGAAGAGCTCTGTAAGCTCCTGGAGGATTGGACGCACATTTAATCCTAAGAAGGGTATTAAGCTATAGATGGGGTACTTATAACTAAAGAGCAAGTCGGGGCGTGGAGAGCAGGCAGGACTTCCTCTTTGGCTGCAAAACAGATGGCTGAGATTGCTCTGGACCTTTGCCTGTCGTCTGGCTTGCCTTCACTCCCC